GAGGAGGGGGAGATCGGGGAGAGCGGAGGGTGTGGCGGCGGCGCCAGCCACCACCCCAATAAGCTACATCGCCGCCGGACAGATCGAGACGACAAGATGATTCCAAGAGGATGGGAAAAAAAAAAGTATAACAGTTTTATCCGCCGCGGATGTTTTATCGCAATCGGAGCTTTTAAAAGGCCCGCCGCGCCGCAGGACAACGGAGCTTTATACAGCCGGGGGGAAAAGCGGGTTGAGGTGGGGGGTGGGGGGGGGGACGCTAAAGCAAAGGCCCCTCGCCCAATCAGAGAGAGGCCCAACTAACTAATACCGCCGCTACCACACCTCCTCTCGCCGGCCACCTGTGCAGCAGCCGAGCAGCATGCACCACACTGCAGCCTCCCCTCCCCCCCCTCTCCACCTCCGCGGTAAATCAAAGTGGCGGAGTGCAAGTTCAGCTTGGCACCTCCCTGCCGTGTAATTTTGTGGAATGTACAAAAAATACCGAATGTTAATTATTTAATTATTTACACTGCCAAGTCACGGATACCAGCCGTCGGTAATGAGTAGTAACCTCTTCCTCGAACCCTCCCCATTTAGATCTTTAGTACACCCTCCTCACCTGCGGAGATCTCTACTCGAAATTTTATTTCCAAAGCCGATGCACTTCGGATTTTCGGCCAGTTGACATGTTCCCTCCATATTCAGTTGTCAAGTTCGTGAAATGTTGTGTTATGTACGGTAAAGTTTCAACCCCCGTTTCATGAAAGGGGTGAGGTATGGATGGGGGAGGTCTATTGATGTGGGTGTTATAATTTAAAACTGCTAACGAGCATCTTTGCAAGAATAAGAAAAGCGTTCGGAGATTACTTCCTCCCCCAGCAGGGAAGGGGGTCGGGCGGTCGAACAATATGGATAAGCATCTGCCGGGAGTGCCGGCCCGGTCCGGGGCGGGCGTGTACAAACCAGGCTGGACTCGAAAAACGCCTATTTTCGCGAACTTCCTTCCTCTTTTGCAATTAGAGCCGCCTGAGCCCGGCCGCTGGCACCGCACGCCGGATGACAAGACGATGCGAATGGGTTGAAGGGGAGGAAACCGGGAGGGAACGGGAGCCGGGTGGTGCACAGCAGCAGGGAGGCGTGTGCGGGCGCGGCCGAAAATTGGGGAAAGATACGGAGATATGGAGCAGTTTAAGAAAATTTGCAGCTTTCATCATCAACAAAAAATAGGAAGAAAAAACTATGTTAACACGTTCATTGCGGCTGTGCAACGTACCTAGGGCTTCAAAAATAGCAAAGAATGACTACGGTATATGGTGGTCGTTTGAATGGTCCAGAAAGCAGTACTCTTTAAGGTAAATGTTAACTTTTTACTCAGTTTAGAGAGGTTGTGGTTTCCATGTGCGCAATGTCATGACCAAACCGCATGACCTCCGTGCCTGCCTCGGTGGCATTCGTGGTCGGGCACAAGTTTTACGAAGAGCACGTCCCCCTCCTCACACCCTCCTCCCTCCTCCCCCACACTCGCACAGGGGGAAGATGAAATCATCGAAAGTGTTGCGTGGGGTGCAAAAGGGGGGAGGGGGAACAAAGACCAGGGGGGCGGAAGAGTGGCAAAGACGACGGCGGGTGTAGCGCCCCCGAGCAAAAGGGAAACTTTTTTCCTTCCGCCTCTTTTTTTTTTTTTGTGACGTTTCCGCCGTCCTTGCAACGTAATCGGGGAGGTGTTGGCCATGTTTACTTACACGTGCAGGGTGTGGCAGAGGCAGAGCGGGCAGCGGTGACATCAGTCTCACCTGGGTCCCTGGGTCTTGGGGACGAGACGGCTCCGACTCCAGGTGCTCGCGCGGGCCTGTGGAAAAGACAATAATAGTTACCGTACGAAAGGTTCAAAGCAAGCTTCGCCTGAAAAATCCAAAGGGGTCTTAGCACGCGCTGATATTTCATAATTTTCTGTTTTCTATCTGAAGCTAGCCGCTTTTCTTTTGTCCGCGCCTGTTATTTTTTAAAAACTGCTAAGCGACGCGATAAAGATTGAGAAAATAAAGAGGGAAATATGAACCTGAACCTGAAATGAGCAACCTGGTCCGCAAAGTGCATCCCACCCGTATTACGACGTAGAAAAAACAAGAGGTACACTTTCCTTTCCGGACATCCTTCAGCCGAGGGGCTGTGGCGACAGCAACCAACCCCCCAGGGATCTGGGAACACACCTTAGGGAGGGAGGGAGGGGGGGTGGGGTCCTACTGGGG